ACTACCACTACCACTGCCACTGCCACTGCCACTACCACTGCCACTGCCACTACCACTACCACTACCACTACTACTACCACTACTACCACTACTAGTACTACTACTAGTACTCCACTTAGGGTATGATTAGATATGTGAAAATGAAGGGTGACTTCTTTCCCCTGGTGGAATCTAATACAAGTTGTAACAAATGCATTTCATATGACCTGCAGATTGAAAATCTATACTATTAACCAGACACTCATGAGCTTGTCTTGTCAATTTTCTTGAGTTGATGGCTTATTTCTTCTGCACAAATTTTAACCTTCTAAGTACTCCCAAGATCTCATTTAGTAATTCTCTAATTGTTATTTTTCTTCACTCTCATCACTTGTTTGCTTTACGTTCTTTTAACATTGTAAAGAGAAATTCTGTCCTGACCCCTGTCCTCCACCCCAAAGGATGGATTACACTATACACTGGATAAATCTCTATCCGGTGGATAGCGCAGTACGTTTTGGTAACACTTATCCGCTGGATAGCGATTTATCCATTGGGTAGTGTTATCCGCCCCTTGAACAACCAGAGCCAGGTCACTTCTGGGAGTTAAAAGGTTAAGAGTAATTTTACTCTGTGTTTTCAGTGGGAGCAAAACAGGGAGAAGCTGACACAGCAAGCAAATGTTATTTTAAATGCCATCCAACAACATACAGGAGAAATGCACAAAGGTGGTGAGACAGAGGATATGCCAAGTACAGACTGCATTGATAAACTGCTAAATGACATGAGCACAAGTTTTGATGAAGAATACGGTGGATATGGAGGGGCACCAAAGTTTCCTCAAGCCTGTAAGTGAAAATTTAATTTTTTAGCTTAAACTATTTTTTGAATGGTCTTAGGTGTCCTTTCTGCAGCACACCAGTTGGAGCTTCAAAGCTCTTTCATAAATAGTGACTGGTCTGTTTTTTTCTGCAGCCAATTTCAACTTTCTCTTAAGATACTTCTCCTATAAGTCTGGATCTGAAGATGGAAAGAAAGCTCTTGGTATGGTCTTGAAAACTCTGGAGTTCATGGATAAGGGTGGAATACATGATCATGTTGGACAGGTTAGCTTATTTGTGACCAAATGTGTTAAGGTGAATAACTAGCAAGTGACCCTAAGGCAATGGTGTAACGCAGGGGTGAGGTCCTTGGTTGCCTGAAACCCCCATTTTTGTCTTGAAAAAGTGATAAATGAGAATTAAGAATTAGTTTGTGGGTAGTGTGTGTGATAAAACTATAGGATTAAGGGCCACTTATTTACATCTCATTGAATCATAATACATCCTTCCCAAGTACATCCATAATTCTATACATGCTCAGTTGAAAGCATGTTCCAATTCTTTTTTAATACACCATAGTGGCTTATTGGTAATTAGGTGGGACTTGCGTACATGCTTTTTTTATAATAATAATAAATGTACCTTAGCATGTTTTCAAATTCCTGTAAGATATTTTCTGGGTACCTTCGTATTGGAAAATTCTGCATACATTCCTGTACTTGGGGACTACTGGTAACTTTAGTTGATCATGAAGATTTGGCACCTAGCTTATCCCTAATTGTTGGATTATAATTTGGATGTTGGAAGCTTCATGAAATGGGAGAATTGAGCCATAAACTTTCACTATGTACTTATACAGTTATATTTCTCCCTCTTCAGGGTTTTCACAGGTATTCAACAGATCGTTTCTGGCATGTTCCTCATTTTGAGAAAATGTTGTATGATCAGGCACAGTTATCTGCTCTGTATGCTGATGGATACCAGGTAGCATATTACGCACAGAGTGTTACTCTTATTTTCACTACTACATAAGTAGTGTTCATTACTGCTAGGATCACTTTCATGTACATTTCTTAATACTGCAGTACACATACATGATTTTCATATATATTCAAATTCATTGTTACTCATAGTAAACATATTTACTGTAATAAAGGCTGATAGTTTCGAAAGAAACTGTTTGGGGCTGCGTTGGTGGGAGTAACAAAGTAATTTGGATATATCAACAAAGTTGAAATGGTAAATTAGCCACCGTAACGATCACAAAAGCTGACGTTTTGAGCGTTAGCCCTTCGTCGGAGCGAATAGAGGAATTGACGGTTGTGTGTGCTTTTAAAGGCAGAAAATGGAGCTACATTATTGGTGGGAACATGGCAACGAGAATTCATCAATAGTCATAGTTATAGTAGTCTTTATTTCCTCACAAGATAAAAAATACATATCTTATGTTACAATATTTGAGTAAAAAGTATATATATCTAAATTATAACTCATATAGCTAAATTGTATTTAAAAATTAAGTGATTAATGAAAGAGTTCTTGAATCTATCTGTATTAACTTTCGGATACTGACTTGTTCAATTCCTTAAACTGTAAGTCAATACTTTCTTCTCGGGTAATAGTTCCCTTAGAGGGTGTCGGTCTATGCCAGATACCTTACGAAATACTTTTCTATCCTGCTTTTCCAGAAGGTGTTTAATAGAAAATGATTTAGAAAATGAAAAACCAAATCATCTTATTTACTGTAAGATGATTTGGTTGTTTGAACTGAGTTAACAAATGAATGTAAATTAGCTGCCTTAAAGAAAATCTAAAGTGAATAGACAAATTGTGGGTTAATGCGTGTAGTTTGTATAGATGGAAATAAACTGTACACAACCCTCAATGATCTCTGTTATCCTCTCTTCACAAAGTAATTGAGATTGATTGAGACAAATACTTGGTTGCTCGCAAATATAATGATGATCTTATAGCTTTTATGATCTTTCTCACAGGCCAGCAAAAATGACAAGTTTGCTGAAACTACCAGAGACATCTTGTTATATGTTATGCGTGACTTAAGCCACAAGGTACCCTCAATGATATCTAGCAATAGGTGCTTACAAACTGTGTTAAAGGCGTTTGCTACAATAGATGTCATCAGCTGTGGGGAATCTTATTGAATCGCTCTTACTAGCTGTAAGATAAAGTTTTGTTTCCACTATCTAACATGTTTTAGGAAGTGCTTACAGTTTTATTACTCTCTTTTTATCATTATATTTTATCATCCTCAGGTAAAAATTTAGAGGCCCATTAATAATGCCGAGGCCTATCTTTTTTTTTTTTGTTCCATTAAGTGACTAGGTGTGTTGTTACTCATCCTGAACAGGTCAGTTTGTTTGTACCCATTTGTACTCCGAGATGGGAAGGGACGATGGTACTAAAATTTTTCCCCTTATTCTGCTTACTAGGCTGGTGGATTCTTCTCTGCTGAAGATGCTGATTCGTTACCAACCCAAAGTGACACTCGCAAGCAAGAAGGAGCCTTTTGTGTTTGGGAGGAAAAAGAGATTATAGAACTGTTACAAGAGGAACGGGTCACTACTAAAACTGGCGGGAAGGTTCCTGTGTCCTTTATGTTCTTAAAACACTATGGTGTGGAGAGTGAAGGAAATGTTAAACCCCATCAGGTAAAGAGGTGGCTTTAGTTTTGGTCAAACCAGTAAAACCAATTTGGCAACACCAAATGTTTTTTTGTGCTAGTGACTGGTTGACTGGCTTACTTGCTGACTAGCAGATGTGCTGGCCAGCGCGCTGTGTGACTGACCGACGGGCTGTCTCACTGACGGCTGACTGATGTAAACAAGTATATCCTTCTTATTTGTCGTAGGATCCTCATAAAGAACTTCGAGGTAAGAATGTTCTTATAGTACGGGGCAGTTTGGAGGAGAGCGCTCGACTGTGTGACGTGGACGAAGCGGAGGCCAAAGAGCAGCTGGCGAAAGCTCGGGAGATCCTGTTAGAAGAACGACGGAACAGACCACCTCCTCACTTGGACTCCAAAATGATCACTGCTTGGAACGGTAACTCAGTGCTTCAATTTTCTTTCTCACAAAAAAGCACTAAGCATTAGCTCTTAGCTGGAAGATTAGTTTTCATTGTCTCAGTAACCTCATATATAATGCCATGGCATTTAGCGTGGGAAAATGTTGACTACGGTGAACTTACATACGAGAAATAAGGTGCTCGGTAGTCTCAGCCAATCAAGGACAAACTGATCCAAACGGCGTGGGAAAAAATTGACAATGGTGAACTTACTTGCATACGGGAAATCAGGGCGGAAAAGCGGGTAACTTGCATACTGGAAATAGTGTTCAGTCGTTTCAGCCAATCAAGTGCAAAATTCAAAACGTGCAGAATATAGTTCACTTGATTTTTACCACGCTGTTGCTGGTTTCACGTTTGGATGTTACGCAGTAGTAACGCTATCATCTTACCATCGGTAGAAAAATGATCAACTTTCTTAGTTTTCAATGATTTTTAATAACAGAGGAACTAAAAGATAGACAGTTTTTAATAACAGAGGAACTAAAAGATAGACAGTTTTTAATAACAGAGGAACTAAAAGATAGACAGTTCTATACTCTCATGACCCTCTAAGTTTACGTAAGCAAATTTTTTAAACAGTTTATAGGCTTCGTTGTTGGGGGAAAAAATCTTCTGAAAATAGCCCTGAATTTGACAATGTTTCTGCTCGTTTCCAGGCTTAATGATCTCCGGTTTGGCGCGCGCGGCCCAAGTTCTTGGTGAAGATGTGTAAGAGAAAAGAGCAGCAAAAGCAGCGGAGTTTGTGAAGAAACATTTGTTTGATGAGAAATCCGGGAAGCTCCTACGAAGTTGCTATCGAGGCGAGAGCGGCGAGGTTATGCAAATGTAAGTAACGACTAGTTTGAATGAGGCATGCCCTACGTATATGGTAGACTCCGTGTCTGCTCTAACATTAAGGTTTTTCCATAAACCCGTAGATGATAAATCAAACAACAAACACTAGTATCGCAGAGGTCAGTGGTTCGAATCCCGTACAGGCCTGAATTTTTTTCAGGTCTGATTTTCACTATTGCTTAACTAGTGCTTTACTGCGAAGGATCGTGCACATATACGTTTCATAACCGCAGTTCATATATATGTATTTCATATGTTTGTTGAATGCAACTTAAGTTATCCGTCCTTTCAGAGATACACCTATTGACGGGTTCGCGGACGACTACGTGTTCATGATTCGCGGATTACTGGACCTGTACGAGGCTTCTTTGGACGAGCAGTGGTTAGAATGGGCGGTAACGTTACAGGCCAAGTTAGACGAACTGTTTTGGGACAGTACAGGAGCTGGGTACTTCATGGCGACCCCTGATGATCCTTCTATTCTTGTGAGGATGAAGGAAGGTTTGAAGAATTTGACATTGCTTTCTCTTAACCCTGTCACTCTCAAGACCCCATATCAAGTAATTCTCCTTACTGTCTGCCTTAAAATTCTTGTGATATTAGTGCGGAGAATTTGGTATTGGATCAGCTAAAATCCCCTAATTGATATTTTTCTTTATTCTCATAAATTGTTTGCTTGATTTTATGTTGATGTTGTAAGGAGAAATTCTGTCTTCGTCACTCGTGGGAGATGAAGGATTAAGAGAATTTAGTGTAAGAAGGGTTTTTTTTTTTTTTTCAAAAGTACTTGGTGACCTCTGCCATTTTCCAATTCACCTCTTCAATCAAAGAAAAAAAACCGACTCATGTCGTTACATGACGAGGTGACTGAGATTTGTTTGCAGCGGTGGATCCAGACCTTGAACTAAGGGGGATGGGTTGGGGGAGGGGTTGTGTGTGTACACTTGCCGGCTTTTCTTCCTTCTGTGTTTATTGTTATTTTTTTTGCCCAAAATAAGAGGGGTCCGGTTCCCCCGAGCCCCTCCCTTAGATCTGCCACTAGTGTGTGCTCTGGGGTGGGGTGTTAGTGGGGTAGGGAAATCGGGGCCGGAATGTTCGTGCGGAAGCCGTTCACAGGCCTCTTCATTTGAGCCCGGCATCCAGGCTAGTCCGGTTAAGGAGACGAATTTTGTCATCTGACGCGATTATGTGAGCAATTCCAGATCGGAACATAATTTTTACGTGGGATCTTTTCCAGCCTGGTTACCAACATCCCAGTTACAAGGCCCCAGAGTGTAAAAACTAGGCCTATATTAGCCTATATGAACATCTTGACTAGAATTTTAACAAATAAAGTAATTGAGAGGTCAGTTGTTGGTAACCAAAAGGAGGACCCCGGGGTCGGCAAAAAAATGTTGTGCAGAAGGATGTATCTCTTACTTCTCAAATCAAATATCGCTTTACTTTTTCAGCTCAAGATGGTGCGGAGCCCAGCGCTAATTCCTCTTCTGTTGGTAACTTGATTCGATTGTCCAGCTTTGTAGACCACAAGTCCTACACTACCAAGGCTGAGGAAATCATTAAGGCATCCGCAACCCTTTTTTCCAAGATTCCTCTCGCTATCCCTGAACTGATGTCAAATTATATTATGTATCTTCAACCTAAAAAACAGGTAAACATTTTAGTTCAGTTCGTTTTTGTCACGTAGTTCCTTAGTGAAAACGAGCATACTGCTCAAAGCGCGGGAAAACGAGCATACGGCTCAAAGGGCGGGAAAACGCGAATGACCAAGACGCGGTTGGTTTCAGTTTTGCATCCGATTGGTTGAAGGGATGGTGCGAGTTTTCTGAACCAATCAGAGGGGAAAGTTAAGCAAAACCAAAACAATGTCGAATTACTTTTGACGCTCAAATGGAAATTTGCTCTAATCGTCAGTCAAGACCCCTTGCGACATCTCTCAGTAATTTTTTTTTTTCAGATCATTATTGCGGGTGATCGAGATTCACAAGACACGAAAGACCTCCTGAAGTGCGTCCACTCACATTACATACCAAACAAAGTCCTCATCCTATGTGATGGTAAACAGGAGGGGTTTCTGGCATCCAAGCTGTCTGTTTTTAAGACATTGGAACGGAAGGAGAGCAAAGCCACAGCTTACGTGTGCGAGAATTACACCTGCTCGCTTCCCGTGAACTCTGTCGAGGAACTAGAGAAGATTCTCTCTAAATAAGTGTTGTAGTGTGGCTCCCTCCATGTTAAAGTTATCGCTCGAAAGTGTCGGGGTTTAGAAGTATTGCCTATGAATAAACATCATTGTGGTTAAGATAGGGTTAGATTAAAGAACAAGCGGTAAAGTTTTGCGTTTTTAGGGGAGCAGGGCCAAGTGTGAAGGGAACGCGAAGGGTAAATTGAACGCGAGAAGGAGCGCGAATTCTCATCGTCTTGTTGGTTACATGGAGGAGTGTCTGAAAGCGTAACACAATAAACAATGACGTGCGTAAAGGCGGAAAATTTTCGCGTCACTCTCCTCACGAGTGATATGCGCGTGATTCATTCATTGCATTACGCTCGTTCAGCAAGTCAAGGAAAGGTTACCTACGCGGGTGAACGAAACTTCGCTGGTGATCACAGGATATTCGCAAGAAAAGAAGCCTTTCTAAAGTAAACGAATTTTTAAAGGAACTTAACATCATTGTAGTTTTGCATGATAGTTTTAACGCCAAAATTTTGAACTTTTCACTCGTAGAATAACCACCTGCGGCCATAAAGGCGCATGCAGTAAATACCGAGGAAATAATAGATAAACCAGCTAACCAAATATTTTCTGAACTGTCAAGTCACTTATTAAATGTTATTAAAGTTATTCTGCACTTTTCGAGTGTTCTGAAAGGTAGATCGAAAGGTCCGAGTTCGATTCCTGTCTCTGGGTCACTCTGTCTTGGCAAGAATCCGAATCACATATGTTACAACCGCTTTACCGTGGAAGGACTGGGTACCAGCTGTTAGAAACCTGTCTAAAAGCCATTGTGGGGGGTGGGAGGGAGGGGAAGTTAATCTTCTTATTTAGGGGTGTCCCATCCAATGGAATACCCATCTTTTCCGTCTCTTTAACGTGGCTGGAAACAGTTTCCTGAGACGCCAGATTGTATTCGAAGCGCTCAAACGTCAACTTCCTTTTTCGCAGTCGAACCAATTGACACGTGTGTCAACCGAAGGATCAGATTTTGAAATAGTGGACGTAGCAAGGCAATCGCTATTATTATTATTATTATTCCTATGTTGTGGAGAGGTCAAAATTAAGCTCTACCCGGTTTTTTTTCCGAAAGAAAAATTTTTAATATGTTTTTCCATTATGTTAAATTTAAAACTATTTCGTCGAGTCGAGGAGAAACCACAACGTCTCCAATTAAGAGTATTTTCAATGTTATTAATTATTGGGCGCTAATTTGAGCTCAAGTCCATTTATCTTAGAAATTCCCCCATTGCATTTTTTCCAAGATACTCTGCGTGAAATTCAACATATATATAACAGTTTAGTTTCGTTTTTCCTAACATTGAGGTGATGTAAGTCTTGTGAAGTGGTTAAGAAATCTCAGGGGCGGATCCAATAATTTTTGATTGGAGGTGCTCCAAACTTTGGTTCAGAAAGGACTGTTGGACTCTTGAGGCAAATTACTTCTCCTCCTCACCCCCTCCCACCAGTCGCGGTTCCACGTTATAATTCCTTGGTCGCTTACCGTTTACTTGGATTCATTAAAAAGATCAGCTAGTTAAAAAGTGATATACGATCCTGTCGATGTAAGAATTTCAATTTCAAAGTTGTAAGCGTCAGGTCTGTTAGGGGGGTCCGGACCCCCCGGACCCTCCCCCCMTGGATCCGTCACTGAATCTCAGTATTTCTGTTACATCCGTGGTATGAAGTTGACAGCTGTTGGCTTAACAGAAACGGAAAAACTTAAAAGAAACGGTAAACGCCTCGACAAAACTTTTTTGACGACAAAATTTTTGACACATTGGTCTTTTCTCACCAGTTGTTCGCTCGCACTTCCCTTCAGGTAGTTCCTGCGGTGCCTTTTAACTTGGCATTCTAGAGATCGTCTCAGTTGGCCTAACCGGGTATTTATGTTGTCATAGAAGCTGTAATGTGGTTCATGTAGCCACTGTTCTTCAGCAATCATGTTGAAGAAAGCTTTTTGCTCCTTCTATAAATGACTTAATATTATAATTCGATGGCCCCTGAAAAAGCATGCCGATCATTTGATCGCACCTGTACTCAGAATCTAATTTGTAGATTAAGAGTGTATTAATTTTTGGCACGTTCATGATTAAACGAGTCTCGAACTCATGCTTGTAATGTAAGTGAGTTAAGTACTCGCTTGTTACGGGAGGGCGGTATAAGGGGGAATTCGGGAAGGTTGGCAATAATGATGAAGGTTGCACTTTCCAGACGGACGGAATTGAGTAGGAGGCAGTTTTTGGCTCGCAGCAGAAGCGTTGGTTTTATTTTCACCTGCTCTACATACTATTACCATATTTCAGTGTTTTACAGTAACGCAGGTGATGTTCCCTTCCAGGGCGGTCTGTCATAGCGTGATCAGTAGGTCTATATTTGGAAAAGGAAATTGGCAGGCGTTTGAAACCGCGCATTGGTAGCCTGGGAACAAGCTTATGAGTAACGAGCTCATTCTTGTCGAATACGTCGAAAATAGAATAATCAAAAATTAAAAAAAGATTAAACCTACCTTTGTAATATCCTCACTGAGTATGGAGTATTCGAAGAAAACAATATCATTTCTGCTAGGCTCAATGTCGTGATTTTTTTTCAACTTCGTTTTTTCAGATGGAAAACACAGGTTAGCGCATGACAACTAGGTGGTGTGCTCATGCGCTTGGTCAAGGTTTATCCCATAGTAATTTTTATGGCGAGGTGAAAAGCATCACTTTGCCAAGTTATTCCTTACGGTTCGTGAATTAGTTTTCCCCACTTCTCCTAATCATTGCGGAATTTTAACGCTGAATATTCCAGTAGTTATTCCAGCTACGAAATTATGCTTCTTAAGAGCGACGCAGCGAGGTAATGGCGGATAAACGGAAGCTACAAGGTACGACGAGTTCATGGCTTTCCCTTGATATTTTTTTTACTTGCAAAGATTTTGTCCCACTTCCTTTTCTTATTTTGCCTGATTAATCTTAGGTGAAATTGACCGTTGCCTTAAGAAAGTACAAGAAGGCGTAGAAACATTTGAGGATATCTGGAAAAAGGTAATTGGAAAAGTTATAAGTCAAACCGTGAAGTTCGAACAGGCCATGATTAAGATGCTATTCCAAGCACGTTGAGCTCACACTTGGACAGTTTGGACGGTAATAATAGATGACGTCGTATTCTTTCAGGTTCACAGTGCGTCAAACGCGAATCAAAAAGAAAAATATGAAGCAGATCTCAAGAAGGAAATTAAGAAACTACAGGTTTGGCAGAGAGTTCATTTATGTTCGTTTTGTTGTTTGTCATCACACCATACAACCCTCGCATCATTCCCAGTTTCAGTTTGCCGCCAGTTTGAAATTTAAGTTTTGTTGAATATTTTGCAGCGTTTGCGAGACCAGATTAAGACCTGGATGGCGTCAAATGATATCAAAGACAAGAGAACTCTTCAGGAAAACAGAAAACTTATCGAGACGGTAAAGTATAGAGTTTGCCTTTTTCAAAATGGCGACCAAGAGTCGCGCCATTTTTGATTAAAACGTAGTTAAATTAAGACTGCAATTATGTCGGCGATGATTTACTTTTTCCAAACATTGATTAATTTGCTAACTTGTAGCCTCTCTCAAGGGATTCTAGAGATCTTAAAGTTGAAGTAATTTGTTATCTAAACATTGTTGTGTTTCCTTTTCTTAGCAAATGGAAAGATTCAAGGTTGTTGAGAGAGAGACTAAAACCAAGGCCTATTCTAAAGAAGGTATGTATTTTATCAAGTTGAAGTATGGTTTGTCTCTAGAGTTGTCATTTTTTTTTTCATGATACTATATTTAACTGTTGTTTAGGAAAGTGTTTTGTTTAGGACATAATTATAAACCATATATCCTTGAATAAGCACCCATGCTCTGATAAGTGCCCTCCCTCAAATGAGCACCCACCCCCAAGGCAATAATGTTAATCAAGAGCCTCTCTCAAAACAAGCACCCTTGTCCTCCTCTCTCACTTCCTTAAATAGTATGGATACAAGGAAAACCTGTTTCTATGGCCACTGCATTTATTGCTTTTTGAGCTTATTACGGATGAATCAGCATAGGAGAATAATAAGCATCCCCCTTGAATAAGTGCTCTCCTTCCCAATAAGCACTGCTCCTTTTATCTGAATTTCAAATAAGGGCCTGCAGGGTTGTGGTCTAGCAGTGCCAGGTGGTCCCTGGCATCTTACTTTAGGCACCCTGGATTTCACAGTTTCAGAGCACTGGGCTCCCTTCAATTTTTCTTGGAGCACGGCCTTAGGTACGGCACTTACTTGAGGACCTACATTAATCTAAGTAATGATGTTTGTGTTCACAGGACTTGGACTTGCTGCAAAGATAGACCCAGCAACCAAAGAGAGAGAGGAGGCCAGTATTTGGATTACGGTAAGGGTTGTTTCTGTTGTCACCATAGGTTGAAGATTTAATCAACTGTGACAAAAGTTTTGATTATTACCGTATCTGTAGCCTCGGAGTGTGTTTCTGATAAGCCAGTAGTGAAACCTTTCTTTGTAATGATCTTTCTTGTAAGTTTGCCCAAATATTATGCTTAATCAGTTAATTGAATGTTCATGTCTTTTTGAGAATTTGCGTGCACCACTAGCCATGTTATTTGAATATAGCCACATTTCAGATTATTTCAGAAAGCTGGGCACATGAATCACAAAAGGAAGCCAGTTTTGTTTCTGTTTTGGAGAAAAAAGGGAAATGTTTAAGTTTTCTGATTGCTTTTTTTATTTCAGGAAGTCCTAGAAAGGCTACAAATAGAGGTAAGTCTGCTCAGGCTAATAGAAAGAAATGAAAATGTATGTCATGGTACATGCATATACAAGAGGTCTGCTTGTAATTGCCTTGTAGCAATTTTATGGCTTAGTGTTTACAGTGCTCTAAGTTCTTGTGCACAAACATAAAAATTACCTTCTCTTGATCTTAGAGGACTTTGAATAGATCTTGATTGACGTTGAGAAACCATCTTTGTGAATTATTGATGGCTCACTAACCCTCAAGTGGCAGTCCTTTGCTTCTCCACTACGCTATACTTCTAGAGTTTCTATTGTGAGCAAGTTATGCCTTGGGATAAAGTTCTGTGTTGTTGTCCAATCTGAAAAGTGCATGTCCATTAACATTTCAATTTTCTCTTAAGCTTCTTTGCTCATATTGGTTAGGGCAAAATTGGCCACAGCCACCAAAATGAAAAAAAAAATTGTTATGCAGGGTGAAGTTGCATTAACTGGTTAGCTCAGTTATCATGCACACTGTAATTACGAAGATATAGCACAATTTCTGTTAAAAATTTCTTCCCTTGGCAGTGAAGTAATGGTAATTTTTTTTTAATTACAGGTGGACCAAATTGAGTCAGAAATTGAACAAGTGTATGCAGGATCACGCAAGAAGAAACTTGACAGAGATGTTAGGGTTGAAGTCATGTACTTGTTGACTAGCAATGATACTGAAATAATATTTAATATATTTGTTATGAAATTAAATTCGTAATAGGGAAATGACATTTGTTCTGTCTGTGTTGGGTAGCTTTTGGGTGATGTAGGTTAGTACATAAAACCCACAGACAAGGATTGCAGAGGTCCTGAAAAATATGAAAGTCTTGGAATTTTGGAACAGAATTTTCCTCAACTGAAAATTCCTGGAAAAAGATGACTGGTAGTG